GAAAGGAGATATCCCCAGAGGGAAACTGACTTAGAGACCAGCAGACAAGTAAAGAATAGAGGTTTATCTTGGTTTTATCTTGGTTTGTGGCTTGGCTTCTGGTGAGGGCCTTGGGCTATCTTGGGACACGGTAGAAGGGAAGAACTCATGTGGTATGAAGTGAAGCAAGACAAAGTCAAGGAAGTCAAATTTTTGTGGCAATCTGTCTCAAGATTACTAACCTCCTCCCACAAGAACCAACTCACTCCTAAGAGAAGAACAGAAATCCCCACACTGCAGGTCTATAACTTATATACCTCCTTGTTTTTCAAGTAGTCCTGGCTATCCTGGAACTAGCTCTGTAGGCCAGGCTGCCTTCCAACTCACAGAGATCGGCCTGCCCCTGCCCCTGCCCCTGCCTCCCGAGTGCTGAGAACAAAGATGTGTGCCACCACTGCCCTGCTACCTACTCACCTCTTAAATGTCCCTCACCTCTCACATCATGGCACTGGGAACTATGGTGTAGCACAGGACCTACATAGTCAAATTACAGCAGTCACTACAGTGGGATGGAAAGGATTAACTGTGGGTCTTGGGGTTCAGGCTAGCGCTTGGCTCTGTCATACAACTGTTAATTCGTTCACACAGTGCTAGATTCTGCCCTAAGTTTTTCATTACACATGTCTTCTCAGTGCTTCTAAAGCAGAAAACCTTTATAAACTATAGAATATTTTGAAACATTTAAAATTACATTTATTTAGTGTGTATGTATGCACTACAGCACACGTGTGGAGGTCAGGGTACAACTCTTGGGAGTTTGTAGTTAGGTTCTCTCTGTCTCTGGTTTGTTAGGGCAGGGTTTCTCTATATAGCCCTGGTTATCCTGGAACTTACTAGGTAGACCAGGCTGGCCTCGGACGCCCAGAAAACCTCTAGCCTCTGCCTCCTGGCTGCATTCTGAACTTTTTTTTTCTTCTCGGACAGGGTTTCTCTGTAGGCCTGGGTTCTGAACTTTTAAAGACCGTACTGTCCTTGGTGGTTAAAGCAGAGCGCTATGGCTGACATTACTATGCCACAGATGCAGAACCTGTAGCTCAGTGAGCAGCAATGATTGTCTGAGGTTGCACAGCAGGAAGTCCTAAAGCTGGGATTGAGATCCAAGCAGTCTGGAACCAGTCTGGCCTTTCACGGCAAGCTCATCTGTAGACATTTTTTTTGTTTGTTTGTCACAACTTGGTGGAGGGGTGCACTGGGCAGCTCTCCCCAAAACAAAGAATCTCATTCCCCAAATGTCCATGGTGCTGACATAGGGAAACTGCTCCCACCCTCACCCAGAGCTTTCATACTTTTCCCAGCTCCTGCTGCTGTATAATCTTTTTGCTGTTGTTTCTCTCTGTTAGTGGTTCTCAAATGTGGGTCAAGACCCTTTTGAACAACTTTTTCACAGGAGCGGAATATCAGATATACATTACGATTCAGAATAGCAGCAGAATTACAGTTGTGAAGTAGTAGTGAAATTGATTTTGCATGAGGAACTGTATTAAAGGGTTGCAGCATTAGGAAGGTTGAGTGTGGGATGGAGAAATGGGTCAGCGGTCAAGAGTGCTGGTTGCTCTTTCAAAGGACCTGGGGTTCAATTCGCAGCACCCACATGGCAGCTCACAACTGTAAGGATTCAGGCACTATGCTGACCTGCCCAGTCACCTGGCAGAGTGCACTCAGGCAGTACACTGGTCAGCCCAGGGTTGCACTGTTGCATAGTTTGCAAGCAGGTGCAAAGGACACCTTTAAAAGAAAGACCCCGCCCACATATGCTCCTTTCTGGCTGCTCCCCTGGGGCAGACAGGACTTTTCCTGTCTCTCTCTTCTCTTCTGTCCTGTATCTGTGTCTCTTTACCTTGGTTTTTTTTTTTTTACCTCCCCTTCAGTAAAGCTTTAAATATGAGTCATATCTACAGGTCTCTGTTTCCCCATCTGCCCACCATCCATCACCCACCCAGGACCTAGATCCTCTGGGTCCCAGCTCGGGACTGGGGACCTGCCACTTGGGGTTCCAACCCATTATTCTTTTTTCCTAACAACTGTCTGTAACTCCAGTTCCAGGAGAACTGACACCCTCACATAGAGTATGTACAGGCAAAATGCCAGTATACAAATAATCAAATAAATCTTTTTTAAAAACAGGAATGGTTGGGAGGCAGAGGCAGGCAGATCTCTGAGTTTGAGGCTAGCCTGGTCTACAGAGCGAGTTCCAGGACAGCCTCTGAAACAATACAGAGAAACCCAGTCTCGAAACCACTCCCCCAAAAAGGAATGGCAAGTGTTGTACCCCGTGTTGTAGGCCACATGTCAGTGCCTCACCTTGAGAGGCCATTTGTTGTATCCTGCATCTGGGCGACAACAACAGCTGGGCTCCACCTGGCTTATTTGTCTGTGCTTGGGGGGAAGTATATGGACTAAGAAATGGCAGGTAGAAATATTAACGATGTTAAAGAAAAATAATAACACAGGATAGAGTCCAGATGTCACTTGGTGAATCCCAGGAACTATTGCCCCAAGTTTATTATTCAAAGCTCTTTTATACCTCAATCAGAAGGGGGGGACAAAAGACTTCCTTACCAAGATCCAAGGAAGAATCAAATGTAAATACCTCCTTAATATTCAAAACATCAAGTAACCACACCATAGGCCAAATATCCTGTTGTTAAGGTGAGACATCCATTAGTTAGCCCCTTAGGTAGAATTCTGTGGGCTTCCACAGTTGAGAACCCCTGATCTCTGTACTCCTGACTGTCCTGGAATTCACTGTGTAGCAGGCTGCCCTTGAATTTAGAGGTCTTCTTGCTCTACTCTAATCTCAGTGCCTCATCTAATCTCCCACTGTTGGATTGTCTTTCAAAAAACTTATTCTGGCAGATGGTGGTGCACACCTTTAATCTCAGCACTCGGGAGGCAGAGGCAGGCTGATCTCTTTGAGTTTGAGGCCAGCCTGGTCTACAGAGTGAGTTCCAGGACAGCCAGGACTGTTACACAGAGAAACCCTGTCTTGAAAAAACAAAAACAACCCCCCCAAAAAACAAAAAACAAAACAAAAACCCCCAAAAAACAAAAAAACAAAAACAAAAAACCCAACCAAACAAAAAACCCAAAACAAAAAACAAACAAACAAAAAAAACCAAACCAAAACCCTTATTCCTAAATGTCCCTCTGTGCTGGTATCTCTGTGGAGCCAGGAGGCTGCCATACTCTGACATCACCTTCTAACATCTTTTCTCACCAATCTTTGACCCCAAGATGGCAGCTGGAGCCACAACCAGGATTTTTCTGGAAGAAATTCTTCTGGGGTGGTTCCTAGGCCTATGTGTCTGCAGGGAGTCTGGTGCTAGCCTGCCTCAGGGTCTGTGTTGGTGCTTACTTGAGCCAATGGTGCTTTCATTAAACTCAGCACCTATCTGCTATGCCATTCAGTGGGCACCAGAGTGAAGGCAGTTCCCAAGGCCACAGCTCTCTCCCTCCTTCCCTGCCTTCCTGCCTTCTCCCTGCCTCCCTGCCTCCCTCTCTCTTTCCTTCCTTCTTTTCCTCTCTTCTCCCTTCCCTCCCCTCTCTATTTTTTGAGACAGGGTATCATTATGTAGCCCAGGCTAATATTTACAGGACACTTAGTTGATGCCAAGTACGGGAAACGTTCAGCACTGAGAAGAGTAAGAGCTTGCTCAGCTCATGCAGCTTGTAGCAGCACGGAGTTGAAACCTGAATCCAGATAGCTCGAAAACAGAGCTCACCTGTGCTCCCAGGCTTTCTTATGTCACCTTGCAGGTCTCCTGTACTGACCATCACCTTGGCAACCCCGGGCAGCTCCTCCCATTGCATTTCCACTTACAGGGCCTGCTCTTCTGGTCCACTTAGCTCAACTATTGCTGCTGAGGGAGAGCAAAGGGGCTGTTCCAGGTCCTTTGTTTAAACATATCAGGCTACGGGCCACCACTTTCCTTTGATCATAAAGGCCTAAACAAAGTCTACCCTTAATCGAAGGTGAAAAATACTCAGAGATAATACTAAGCTAGCAGGTGTGGCTGCGATTTTACAAATTTTTATTAACCAAGATAGTGAGCAGGCCTGGTGTAGGGCGACAGACCTAAGATTTACTGGGAAAAACAACACAACACCAAAGGCCCCAAAACTCAAGGCCTGGGTGATGGGAGAAGTCATTCTGTATATATGTTTGTCTTATTGATTGATGAATAAAGCACTGTTGGCCAATAGCAAAGCAAGATAGGTGGTCCTAGGAGAGGTGGAGGATTCTGGGAAACAGGCACAGTCAGTCACCATGTAGGATGAGAGAAGAGTAAGAGGTCTGGACCCTTTCTCCGGTAAGAGAAGACCACCTGGAAATACTCAGATTAGGAGTTATAATTAAGTCAGAGCTGGCCAACAAGAAACCATAGAAAATGGCCAACAGCTTCATAATTAATATAACATCCTGTGTGTGATGGGGGCAAAGACTGATCCCTGGAACTCACTCACTGGCCAGTAGTCTACCCCACCTGCATGGTCACGCATGCATGTACACACACACACACACACACACACACACACACACACACACACACACACGAGAGAGAGAGAGACAGAGAGAGACAGAGAGAGACAGAGACAGAGAGAGACAGGGAGAGAGAGAGACAGGGAGAGAGAGAGACAGGGAGAGAGAGAGACAGGGAGAGAGAGGCAGGGGGAGAGAGAGGCAGAGAGAGAGAGGCAGAGAGAGAGAGGCAGAGAGAGAGAGAGAGAGAGAGAGAGAGAGAGAGAGAGAGAGAGAGAGAGGGAGGGAGGGAGGGAGGGAGGGAGGGAGGCAGGGAGAGGGAGAGAGCACAAAGAAGAAAAAGCCCCTGAAGGTGTCCCTATCTTGGTCCTGATATCTGATATACCCATGCAAGACTGCATGAATTTTATCACACTAACTCCATCAATTCAATTTACTTGCACACATAGTGTTTCTTTTTTTTTTTTTTTCTTTTCTCCAGCTCTCTGTGATGCCCCAACACTTGAGACATAACAGCAGATTAGGATCTTGGGATTCAGGAACCAGACTGCTAAGGTTTGTTTCTGCCACTGAAAGTATTCTGGGAGCTTGAAAAACGTTAAGGTGTCCTGTGGTCACCCATCTCTCCGGGTTGTGATCACAGGTCAAGACACAGGAACAGAATAACACACCCTAGGGGGTGGACGACAGGGGAGCATCCATAGGTCCAGTATGCTGACAAGTCAGGAGACCAGTGACCCTTCACTGTTCCTAGAGTCCCCAGACACCTAGGTGCTCATTGTAGGAAGGCAAGCCCAACCCTAACCACAGGGCCCTGAGCCACGCCCATAGGTCTTTGAAGCCCCGCCCATGCATTCTGGGATTCGTAGTTCTTCGGACTCACCGGCTTCAGTCTCAGCTTCTATTGGTTTTCTTAAACGCCACGCCCTGAGGCCGCACCAATCAGGGTACGCAGATATCCAAGTGCAGGGAGCGGTGGCGGAGCAGCTCAATCACAGCGGGGTGGACTCTGGAGGTACTTGGTCTGAGGCTGCGCAATCCCCGGAGTTCCCACGGTCCTGCAGTCTGCAAGGCGGTCACCCGCCCAGGTAATCGCGCCCCCCCCCCCCGGGAGGACCCACGTCCCATGAGAGGTGACTTACGGGCTCCTGGCTAGGCTTTCCGTCCCTCCACCCTTTCTGAGTACTATTTCCCTCGTGGGGCCACCCAGCTGGAGGCTTGTTTGTGTCGCGATTGTGTTTTGCTGAAACTGCGGGTTTCCCTGGAGGGTTAAACTGAAGTAGGAGGAGGAGTCGATTCGCTGATGTCCTACAGCTGGGCAGTGCCTGGCGTGATTGTTGGTGCTTTTAATTTGAAGTGTTGTACCGGTAGAGAGGGGCAATTCCCGATCTCAACAAAAATACCCTGATAGGAATACCCCTAAATATTCCTTCCGAGAAGAGCTGGTGGGTTTCAGGACTGCTCACATCCACCTTGAAAGTGAAAGCTAGCTTTGTGTGGTCCCAGGCCCCTGTTAGGGTTAGGATTATTTTGTGCAAGTGGTTTAGACACTGAAGGTTGGAGGATGGAATTTATGTCACGTGCTCCGTTTTATAGATGAAAATGAGTGGTCAGGTTTTGATACTCGCCCCGTGGTCTGTAGTGACTGGAATATTCCTTTTTCTGGGGATGCAAAGCAAACGTGTATTGAGCCATATAGTAAGCTTTTGTTTGGTTTTGGCCTTGAGACCAAACTCACCATATCTCCAAGGCTGGTTTTGAATTCAGCGACCATCCTGCCTCAGCTTTCTGAAGGCTGGGATTACAGGACTGGACCGCCATGCTATATTCTTTGCTAAGATGCTTGAGGCAGGTGTATTTTGTCAAGGATGGAGATAGTCCTTTGTGTACAGGGACAACATCCAATTCTCATCTGGGAGGAAGTAGGACTTTGTGCAGAAGAGAGTGAAGTTAGGGCGATGGGCAGCGGCTATCGGGATGGAGGAGGAATTACCTGGAAAACAGCAAGGCAAAGCTGTGGACAGTGCTTTGGACCTAGAATTGTGGAGTCTGTTTAGAGTTAGGGATTACATGTGGGGAGTCAATTGATCCAGGAGGAGGCAGGATCCTGGAGAGATAGGTACCCTTTGTTGGGGTGGGAAATTTGGATGTTGTTCTGAATACCCAGTGAGCTGCCCTTAGTGTAGATTTCTCTTTACCTTGAAGTGGTTTTGGATAGAAAGTGTTAGAGGAGGCCACACTGAAGACCAGAAGGGCGCTACAATAACCCCCAGGGGAGTTGCAGCTGTGGTAGGAAGAAAGAAGATTCAGAGCTGCTAAGGGAGTAGACCACATCGTGCTTTTGGTGGGGATGAGTTCTGTGACTTGTGTCAGTAGTTGATGCTGCTGTACATACACCATTGGGGGGAGGGGACAACTTTCATAGGAGCCTGGATGGTGTAGGGCACTCACTGGACCAGCTGCTAGGTGTGGTCAGAGATGATGTATTGTGTGTGAGAAATGTGGGTCTGGAGGCTGCTGCCTGGCCAACCTGGTTGCTGTTTCACAGACTGTTTCCTATTTATAGTACCCGGGAGGACTCTCTGCAGTAACTAACCAGTGAAGGGTCATGCCTGGCACATAATTATATGTCACTGGCAGCACAGTGGCTTCTTGTTACCAGCATTGCCAGAGACACACAAGTAAAGCACTGGGTCACAGCACTGTGACAACTAAAGTAACAGCAGTGATGGGACGTTCTGGCTCTTGATCCTCCTGGTCCATTTCTGGTAATAACAAAAAAGGGTCACATTTCACTGTGTTGAAGTGAAAGCTTTGCCTCTGGAATTTTCCTGTGACTCTTTGGAGAAATGCTCATTATTTATTTATTTATTTTTGAGACAGTGTCTCTATGTAGCCCTGGCTGTCCTGTAACTCACTGTGTAGATCAGGCTGCCTCTGGAATTAAAGGTGTGTACCTTTATTTTTTTGATTTTCAAGACATGGTTTCTCTGTATTGCTTTGAAGGTTGTCCTGGCACTTGCTCTGTATACCAGGCTGGCCCCGAACTCACAGAGATCTGCCTGCCTCTGCCTCCCGAGTGCTGGGATTAAAGGTGTGCGTCACCAACCCCCGGCTCCATGTGTTGTTTTTATGAGACAGGGATTTGTTCTATAGCTCAGGCTGACCTTGAATTTGCAGTAATTCTCCTGTCTCAGTCTCTAGAATGCTGGGATTTTAGACTGGGACAACACTCTTGACTTCAGCATTGTTTTTTGTTTGTTTTCTGAATGGTTTTATTGTGTGCATTTACACAATTGCACTCATTCCACAGCTCATGTGTGGCCATTAGAGGACACAACTTGATCCAGGCTAGCTGGTCCTCCAGGAGTGATTCTCCTATTTCCTTCTGTCCTTGGGTGGGTGTTCTGGGGTTACACTTGCATGACTCAGTATTCTATCTGGGTTCTGGGAATCAGGCCATCAGCCTTTCTTGGTAAGTGCCCTTACCCACTGAATTATCTGCATGGTCCTCTAATACTATTTTTTTTTCTAATACTATTTTTTAAGCTGCAGAAAAGTTGCTTAGTAGACCAAAATTCAAATCTCAGTTTATGATGAGGAAGTTGTCACCAGCATTGAGGATGTTGAAATCTGAATGATTAAATAAACATGTGATGAGACTCATTTTCTATCCCCCTGCCATAATTAGATAATTATGTATCCAGATTAGAGAATGTGAAGTTCCATGCTTCAGAAGAAACAGTGGAAGAAATGAGATGACTATTTGTCTTAGAACGGGGATCTCAACCTATGAGTTATGACCCCCATGGAGGGTTACATCAGGTATCCTGCATATCAAATATTTACATTACGATTCATAACAGTAGCACAATTACAATTATAATGTAGCAGTGAAATAATTTTATGGTGGGTGGTGACCTCAACATGAGGAGCTGTATGAGGTCGCAGCATTAGGAAGGTTGAGAACCACTGCCATAGAACAAAGTAGCCCCTTGCAAAAATGGTGAATTCAGAAACCCAGTATTCCCAGCACTGGAGAGACAGAGAGGCAGGCAGAGCTCTGTGAGTTCAAGGCCAGCCTGGTCTACGTAGAATCTTAGAATTCGAGGACAGCCAGGGCTATACAGAGAGACCTTGTGTCAAACAGAACAAAGTCGGCATTGTGTCCCATTCCCCCACCCCCATTCAGTTGTTGTAAATATCCTAGAGATTTGTGTATCTTAGAGGTTTGCTGCAGTGTTTGTGACATTGTCTATAATGGTTAAGAAACTAGAAGCAGCCGGGCATCGGTGGCGCACACCTTTAATCCCAGCACTCGGGAGGCAGAGGCAGGTGAATCTCTGTGAGTTCGAGGCCAGCTTGGTCTACAGAGAGAGTTCCAGGACAGGCTCCAAAACAAGACAGAGAAACCCTGTCTTGAAAAACCAAAAAACAAACAAACAAACAAACAAACAAACAAAAAACTAGAAGCAGCCTAAAATTCTAGGATGGCTATAGATCTATTTAAGAGTATAATGAATTAATAGGACAGAAATACTAATTAGAATAATGATTATCACAGGGTGGGGAAGGATGGGACTGCAGGGTGGAGATTTCATCTATAATGTTTGTTTAATGGAGGATGAAGACCTAGTACATTTACATGATACTAGCAGCTGACAGTTCAGTTAATAGGTGAAGGGGCTACAGTAGGGCAGTGTGGCTGTTATTCTTTGTACATTTCTGTGGCTTAATATGTACTTCTAAAAATTTTATTTATTTGGTTTTTTGAGACAAGGTTTCTCTGTGTAACAGCCCTGGCTGTCCTGGAACTCACTCTTTAGGCCAGGCTGGCCTTGAACTCACAGAGATCCACCTGCCTCTGCCTCCTGAGTCCTGGGATTAAAGGTATGCACCACTATACCTTATTTAAAATTCTTGAAGTTAATAGAAAAAAATACAGTAAAAAGTCCAACTTCAGGTCCAGGCCTGGTGACACATTGCTTTAATCCCAGCACTCTGGAGGCAGGCAGACCAATCTCCGTGAGTTCTAGGCCACCCTGTTCTACATAGTGAGTCCCAGAACAACTATATCTAGAGATATGTAGCTAGCCCTAAAGTCAAAATCAAACAGAAAAGTCAGATTTTAAGGCTCGGTATGGTAGTGCACACCTTTAGTTTCAGCACTTAGAAAGGCTAGTGGATCTTTTTGAGTTCTAGGCTAGCCAGGGTTTTCTAAAAAAAAAAAAAAGTCTAAAATTATTAGCATATAACTAGGAAAATTTCCTTTAGTCATTTTTGGAAAAAGACTTCAGAGTGTAATGGAACCAAGTTTCAAAAATAATAATCATGATTTTTAAAAAATTCAAATTTCAATTAGGCATTGAAGATAAAAGTCTTAAGATGTTGTGAACCGGGCTGGGTGTTGGTGTTGCACGCCTTTAATCCCAGCACTCGGAGATAGAGGCAGGTGGATCTCTGAGTTTGAGGCCAGCCTGGTCTACAGAGCTACACAGAGAAACCCTGTCTTGAAAAACCAAACCAAAAAAAGTTGTCAACCATCCCCTCGAGGC